AACTTAAGATTTCTGCCATTGAAAGATATGTGTGGAATGCGGAAATACTAAAAGTCACAATAATTAAAGTTGTAACTAACTGTAAAATTTGTTCACATAAAAATGTCTTCGGCATTCATTTTCTTTTTAGGTAGTTCGCTTTGCGGTACACAACATTTGGATTGACGAGATTCAACATATTCAACTTCGTGCACCTATTCCTCATGAACTTAATTTGAAAAAGCATATTCAGGTTCATCCAAATTTTGAAGAGTGTCATGTCTTCTAGCCAAGAAATTAAAGCCAATATCTACCATACCGACAAACATCAAATCAAGTTTTTCTTATTGTTTAGGGCCTATGCCACAATTACTAACATTTTACATTGGGCACAACCAGCATTTGAAAACAATATCGTTAAAATGATATAAAAACATAACCAATTTATTATAAAAACAGTATCTACTTACCAAAATTTTCTCTCTCCACAATTCTTCAAATACATTTATTACTTTCTTAATGAGATCCAAACCTAATTTAGTCGGTCTTTGCTTTAATTTCTTCTACAATTTGCAATCTTTTTAAGTTTATTTCATTTGTTTATCAATTGAGTTTTAACATACTCTTCCAATTTTTCATGAAAATTTTTTGCTATTTTTTTACAGCTTTCTTTAACGAAATATGTTGTGAGTTTGTTGCCTAATTCGAACTCCTTTATGCATAAATCTCAAAAAAGAATCTTGACCTCTCCCTCTCCTAAATAGTCGATATATCAGCATTTTGTTTTCCCATCTTGCGAGAGCAGCAAATTGAAGTGATATTGTAAAAAAGGCGGGCAAGGTAAACTAAACTTTCCAAATGTAAAAACATAATCACTAAAAATATGAAGTGTTGGAAAAAATTTTCAAATTAAGATTATAATGATCAATTAAAAAAAGTGCAAGGAATATAAAGATCAATAAGATCATTTTGTTAAAGATTACCCCATCCAAAATCGTCATGTGTTTGGTTGTTAGCCAGCGTATTAGGAATATCGGAGGGCATATGAACCAGAGTATATCCTTTATGTTTAGGAACATGGGAGTATAAAATAATATGATTATGAGTGATATCAGATAGTATATGAGAAGTGTGTCATATAGGTTGTATAATATACAAACTAATAGACAATATTAGTAAGAGTAAGATCACATAGTATCTGAGGTTGAGTGTGAAGTGTAGGTTCAGATACACAAAATAGAAGACAATATGCCTAGGAGTAAAATGAGGTAAGAACTAGATGAATCATAGCTGGTAATTGGTTGAGCTGTTCGTAATTTTTTCTTCACATCATAACTCTACAAAAGTTTATGCCATTGAAGATATCCAAAACAACTTTATTGGCACACACAATATAAACAGCATATATTGTGATATTATCATATGAAACAACACAACATTATCATGAATGCACGAAAACATAACTCTTCATCTGCATAAGTTTAGAACATTACAATAGACCGAACTCAAATGGGACAAATAATTTTACACCAAAGCTATAATTGATAATAGCACTTTGCACTAAAATAATGATTCGAACACTCATAAAAGCCATAATTAACAAATCTCAATAGTTTCCACAATAACAAGCATTTGGGGTCAAAAACCACATAGCAAACTATTGAAAGTTATATGAGGAAATTATTTATCCATTTTAGAAGTTACGAAGATTATATTTATTTCCTTGGATCGGAGTGATTTCCTTTCCTATTTTATGTTTTATGTTATTTTTTTTATCTCCAAGAAATTAATATGAATTGATTAATTCGAGAAGTGTTATATTTTTCTTTTCCTATTATTTTTTTTTCTCTTTCCTATTTTAGGACTCATGTAAGGGTTATTTATGGTCCCGTTTAATATCAAAAGTATTATTACGCATTATTCTGATACAAAATCTATACTCATGTTCATCCCATCAAACTCTAAAACACATACATCATTCAAAAGCATGTTTTGATAGAATAAATAATTATTATTTTTTGGCACAACCCGAGCTTGAACTGTACATAGACAGACATTCTCACGAACCAATTTTCAAGTCATTAAATTTGCAACATGCTTCTCCATTTCTTTTACCAAGCCGGACGCATCAGGTAAAATGTCTGTATGGAGGAACAGACTCACAATGAAATATATGACAAGTTGGACTACACTTAAGGGCAACCACCCAGGAGATAAATTATTGGTTAGGATATTCAACAACTATTCAACAAGGGTTTCCCCGCTTCTCATATTGGCTCCTCGAACTCATTATTTTCTACGAAAATCAATGTTAACCTTGTTGAAGTCTCTATCATGGGCTCAGTTTGAATCACTAGTATCTCTCTTTTATTAACAGAATGATGTTACTCTTCATTTGCATCCTCGCATTCTTCAATATTTATTGTGACATTATTCATTTATTCAACTATTCTCAGCTCAGTGAAATAAATCATCCTCCTATTTGGGCAACCAGGGGCAATGTGTCCAAAGTCATACCAGTTGAGGCACTTCTTTGTTCAGACAGATTTGATAGTGGAGGAGGTTTCCACCTTTTAACCACTTTGAACTAGTTTTTCCTAAAATGGGGTCGACTTGGATACTCCAATAGGTGTATTTTTGGTAGCTTAATTCTATTGTTGAGCTTTGCCTATAAAACATAGTTTTCGCCAAGTGATGTTACTCTTTCTCCACCTTTAAAGCTAGAGTTTAAACATCTTGCAATATTCAATAAAAATTTAATTATCTCATGTTGGCAATGGTTGGTCTCGATTCGTTCAGATATCGAGCTATGGTGTTCTCCTCGGGCACCACTAGCACACACTTCAACATAAGTTGCTCGAATCTAGCTATGTACTCCTCTAATAAATGATCTTGTTGTCATTATTGGTGAAACCTCAAGAACATGTCTTATATTAATGTGCTATGAGATACCGAGCTTCGTCTACATTTTTATCATGGAACGAATTTTCATTTCACTGTTTCACTCTCACTGACGTAGGCGTTTCAAATTTTCCCAACACAGAGGTATACTTTTTATTAACTTAATGGCGTCTAGCTTTACCATTTTGTCTGGTAGAATATCCTTGTATTCAAGATCTATTGCACTGCATGAAGTCACTCGATAAATTCGTCATGATTCATGCGACCATCAAAATCTGAAAAGTTAATCTTTACTCCAATATCTTAATTTCTCCTCTGATATGCCCCTGTAAAATCGTCGAGGTAATGATTATTTCATCATTGGGAACTACAAGGAGAAAGTGATTCACCTTCTCCTTTCAATCTAGGGAGTCATTATTGTGGCTATAGGTGATCTCACTAAATTGTCACCTCTCAAAGGCTTGCTGCAGTTGGAGGATTTCTCGTTACCTATCCTTCATAAAAAGTTCGTGGACACCTCGTTGAGGGTTCCTCCTTAGCGGCATGACATTCTTGTCTCCTAATCAGGTTCTCAAGAGGTGCAAAGTCATAAAATAAGGTTGATTGGGGGCCTAATTAGGTTTTGTTGGTAGGTGTTAAGGTGAATTTTTGTTAAAGATAGATCAGTTGTATTTTAAACATTTAAGGTTGGGGCGAGAATTGGCGTAGGAATGGTTTAGGTACTGTGGGATTTTTTTTTTAATTTTAGATTTGGGCCAAAAAAGACAAATACTTTAAAATTTTGGGTTTTTAGGGCATTAATACCAAATGATGCAGTTTTAGGTCTCCTAGAAGGTGTTTGGAAAATAGATTTAGCACGGAGGTGGATGTGGAATAGCAATGGAATAATTATGTGAGATCGACAGCATTTGGAAGGAGATAAAAGACGTTCGGTGGTTGCACGGCTGAAAATAGCTAAGCAGATGATGAAACGATGCAGTACGAGGTCGAGGAGGTTCCACCACCTAATTTTGAACAAGTTTCAGACACACCACTTGCAAAATGAAAGAGGATACAACACTCTAATGAACTTAAAATAGAGAATAAGTCTCCAAACACAATAATAAAATCAAAAGCACCTCAAAGTAGAAAAAACAAAAATAAAATTAATCTCTTACTTGAAAAAACCACAACTAGAAGTAAGAAAATAGGAAATAAATCCAAGTTGAAATTAAGAAAAGGATAAACGTTGCACGAGAATGGGATGAACTCACTCGTTTTGCAGATACATGGTTAGAAAATCTAAAGAACTAGCCGGAATGCAAAATATCATGGGAACAGGATTGCGGATCCCATCAATCCCTTAAGAGACACTTTCGCGTCACAATACTAAATGGGTTTGTGTTCTTTTTTTTTTTTCTTTTTTCCTTTTCCTTTTTTTTTTTTTTTTTTTTTTTTTTTTTTGGATAGGTCAACACTTGATGCCATCCTCATAGAAAATATCATGCAATTGCTTTGTACTTTTTTATACTAAAGCTGTATCCTTGTTCTTCCTAATTATTTTCAAAAGCTCAGCAGAGAGTTCAAAGTTTTAATATTCATCATTAAAAAACATTATTGATCAATATAAGTAGATTCTAAACATCTCTTTGTTAGGTCTCAACATGAAGTAATGTCAAATGAAAATCCATATAGCTAGATCTAATTAGATACAATACGGAAAATGATGACGGTGATGAGATTTAAACATGTTTTTTCTAACATTTCTTACGGACATCCTTGTATTTTAATTTCTAACTAGCCATTGTTCTACTTTGACGAACCATCATGTTAAAAGCCTGTTTGTAGCCATGTTGTTATCCAAGCTACTGGCTTTCAAGCAATTCTGAAAGAATAAGGAAATGCCAAAATATATCGTGATGAAGAAAAAAATAATCAAACCAACATAAAGAATGATAAAACGTATTAAAATGTCATTGAAAAATGAAATAAAACCAAAAAAGAATATTGAACTAAATAAGACGCAGATGACGGATCACCAGCAGCAAAAATTATATCCAGCCAGAAACATACAGCATTGAGAAATATTAACTAATTATGAGTAAAATACAAAAACAAGCACAAATCAATGATATCATTACTTTGGATTGTAGCCTTATTTTTTCTTGCTTCAGTAAGGTTATCTCAGTTTCTGCCTGCATTTTTGTTAAATAAAACCTCATGATCAAAAAATACATTATCAATGTAGTACCATAACAACTTAAAGGCCATTACTTACTATTTCTTTTGACCTTCGCAGATAACTTATGACCTTCTGCAGATCACCATCTTCTTGCGAACTAACCGATGAAAGCCCAACAGAATTATGTTCCTTCTCGGCCAACCTAACATGCAATGCTTCCAATCGGTTGTGCAAAATTCTATTCTGTAAAAACAAAATAATTTAAAATGTAAAATACAATCTTTTCAAGAATTAAGAAGATTTACAATCAAATTACTTGAAGAGACGATCGTTCCAAATGAAACAAAAACATGAGAGAAAGATAACATTGTAAAAATAACATAATATTATAATAAATACAATAGAAACTCACAAGTACGTAAATAGACAAGCAACCAAAAATCAATTGTATGTCGTTTATTAAGAAGACAGTTTAACTAAATATTGTATAAATGCTGGCAATCCAAGGAAAAGAAAATCAGGTTATATCATTAGAATCTCAAAGATATCACTTTAGCCAATAGATTTAAACCCAATGTGAATTGAAAGAAAAATTTTCAATTTGATAACCTTCACGTGTATGATGCAATGATTTATAGATTTTCTAATGCGTTAGGATATTTACATGCACGTTCCATGAGCGCCTTGAATTGCATACCATAGGTAGCTACTATAATAAACTCTATAATCCTTATATTATGAATGTTCTTTATTAAATATCACATTGGACTACGTAAACCTTACCAAACAAGAATCTGTATGTAAAGCCATGGTGGATTTTATGTTACTTTGCACTGCATCAACAATTCAGAATATGTCATGCCAGTGAAGCAAGCCATCTACCGATGAATATTAAAAAAATTATTTTTCTTTCTAAAGTTCCATGCATGCTGGTAGCAGCCACGGAAATTTGGAAAACAAACATCATATGCTCATCTAAAGCTCCAAAATCTCCCAACAAAAAGTTGGCATTATTGTTGGAGCATCTGTTATTAACACCTCAACCCAGGTTACAAAAGTAAAAGAAAGCAAAAAATAAAACAATCGAACTACGAACCTGTTCGTTCATTTCATTGCTATTCCTCTCTGCTTCACTCTTCATCTGTTCTAGTTTGGACTTTTCCGTTTCCCATGATAACTTCAAAAGATCCTAAACATGATTCCAAATGAAGGTCATGTAGGACAGCATAACAATAAGTAATGAAACCAAAGCAAAGACAAAAAAACAACAGCTCACGCAAATATTAAGATTAAAAAAAAAAAAACTAAAAACATCCACCGAAAAAATTTAGCAACCACCATTAAAAAGCCTGCCACCAATATTAGCTTAAGTAGCATATGGAAACAGTAAGTCTACTAAGTCTTTCATTTATTCAAAAATAGTAAAAATCTCTCAACCCCAAAACTTCATTTGAAGCCAGGAACAGTCATTATGTTTCTTGTTACCTTAAGGGACAAGTGGCAGTTTAAGAAATCACCTTAAGTTGGCATACCATACTTTAAAAAGTGCATATTCTTATCATAATAGGCTTAACAGATTTGGCAAACATAAATTGTAGCTCATATTAGAACCAGTAGTTAAACACATACTAATATGTTCATTTCTCCAGATGATAGAATACATTAAGTACATGCAAAAGTAACATAAAATAATAACACAATGAAAGGAGATAATTGTTAAAAAAGGAACTATTTTTCACTCATGAGTAAACAATTCCACCCTGCATATATAGATGTATATAGAACAAAATATCAAAATTAAAAACAAATTTTCTACAATATATAAAAAGCAGGGTGGTTACATTTTCAGCCCTTTGAGCATCCAATTGCTCGCGTAACCTTGAAATTTCTGTTTGAATTAGAGAAAGCTCCCTCGAAGTATTTGTTAATTCCTGAATGGCCTCAGACTGAAGGATTACCTGTGTGTGGCATCAAGGAGTTAGCGAAACAAAAGCACAAGCAGAAAGAAAGACGAGCATGGTTAAAATCAGCTTAGTTTTCCAATATTGAATGAGCGAAAAATTAGAAAAGAAAAAAAATTTCATATCAAAATGAAAAAAATTTGAAAAATAAACAACCGTGCACATGACTGCTCCAAGTCAGAAACATGTTCAACAAACCTATATATATATATATATATTTTTTGGGGAAAAGCTCAAGGGCTGATTTTATGGAGATAATAAGGATGCATGAACGTTGCATTAGAGGGCCCAATTAAGGCATCCTCTACTCATATGATACCAAGTACAGTACTACCCCAACAAAAGGATACAGAGAGACTCAAGAAATTTAAAACATGCAAAAAAAAAAAAAAAAAAACAAGTAGCTAGGGACGATCCAGTTTAGTCTCGTCTCTTCCTCTAGTTTTAGGATTGGAGCCAGATAACACACTTTGAAGTATCGTGTCATTGCAAAACAAGTAGCTAGGGACGATCCAGTTTAGTCTCGCCTCTTCCTCTAGTTCTAGGATCGGAGCCAGATAACACGGAGCGGAGTCAGATAACAAACTTGGAAGTGTCGTGTCATTGTCAGGAGTAACCAAACTATCATCCATTAAGTTTCCAAGTTGGAGTGTGCCCCCCAGTCTTCTTCTTCCACCAAGAAGTGTAAATCTATCATTCTTCATCTGAAGACTGACTCATGTGATCCTCGATTTGATTAGATATTAGAACAGCAGTAGAAGTAAAGGCATTCGTCGCCACAGCGATAAGTTCCAGTGTATGTGAAGTGTGAATTGTCACCTCTGCACCTGATGCTTCCTAAATAGGAGCTGCGGGGCTATCCTGATTTTCGGTTCGAACATTATCCCTTATAGTATGGTCAAGAGAAGGGTTTGCAGGGGCAGACATCATTCTTGTGGTGAATCCCTCCTCAGGTTGGTTGTTATCAGGTTTGCTGGGAGCACGTTCAGGTGCACTAATAGCATGTTCCTGTTTTTGACTATTAGTTCTCAACTGTGGGTGCAATCTAAAACATTTCTCTTGTGGGTGTCTAAACATCTCGCAGGGTTTGCAGTAGTGAAACTTTTGTCCAATAAACATTGTGGGCAGAGTTATCCAAGCCAGACTTCCTCTACATCTGGTAGTGTAATATCTCGTTCAATCAAAATTCTTGCAATAGAGGGCCTTGAGAAATTAACTGTTGGTGTGTCTACCTGCAAAGGTTTTCCAAGGATAGTTTCAATGGCTAATAAAATTGATAGGTCAAAGAATTGAAGCTTGAGTTCAGGTAATGAGAACCAGATAGGCGCAATTGGAGGTTCTTGACTAGGATCAAAATCAGGGGTCCATTTGAGCAATTTCATATGATTGCCCTCGATTATGATGAATTTCTTTGAGAAAATCCTTATGTAATCTTCTTAGATGCTCAGCTAAATCATAACATGTTTTCCGTCGAAAAAACTCACCTATCAAGCCCCAATTAGTTTGAAATCCTCAAAAACATTCCTGATAACCTCCATCTTAGGGCGACACTCCATTTTAGGGCGACATAATTGAAACTTTCCAACTAGTAAAAATTTGTATTTTCTCGCACGAGTTGAAATTTTAGCGAGAGAAAAAATAGTGTTGTTTTGCCCGCGCACGAGTTGAAATTTTAGCGTCAGAGAAGAATAGTGTTGTTTTGCCCGTTTTATTCTCTATTTTTTTATGAGATTGCAATATTCAAATCCTGCAACACAATCGTGGTACATCTGCGGAAACTTTTGACTATCTGTAAGGTGGAAAGGGGAGCTGTGTTTTTGAACCACTGTAGCATCGGCGGGTTTGGCAAGAATATCACCTGCGAGGGCGGCGGCGTAGGAAAGCACCCCTAAGGCCATCTCTAGCAGACGAGAAAGGCCACAGACTGCGACCGGGGACGAAGACAAGAACGCAGTTTGCGATCGAGGACGAAGGCTCGGCCGACGCGCTCGAACACAAGCGACGACGAAAAAGACGACGATGGAGAACGACGCAGTCTGCGACGCGACCAAAGACGAAGGCTCGACCAACGACGGCCTGAGGAACAGGAGCACGGCGAGC